AGAGTAAGGTATAGGTCTCAATGTGACAAAAAACGGCAGGGGGCTAAGCACTGCTTTTGGAGACAAGATGCTTTTCCCAGTAGGAATGCAGGCTACAAGGGCCTGTGGATTTGGCATGAGCTTTTGCAAACTAGTCTAGAAGCAGAGGAACTGGGTGTGAGCAAGCAGTTTTACTGTCCATATAGATGATTCGGGCGGGACACTTTTTGTGACTATATTGAACTAGGAAAAAAGTTAAGAGTGAGGTAAACGGTATCAAGAAAACAACCTCCTTCACAAAGAGAGTGACTGAACGCTGATGTGAACTAGCCTTTCTCTAAGGGGGAACGGAGTTCACTAATGGGCTTGCTAGCACTTTTTTTTTTTTTTTTTAAGTAAATTAGAGGTTTATTTTTCCCTTATGTAAAAGTGTGACTATAGCCAGTCCAAGGCTGGTATGGCAAGATTGCTAGCACTTTCTCTCCTTTGCTCATTGACTCAGCAACTATTAATCATGCATGTACTATGTGCCAGGGCTAGGCACTAGATCCATAAAGTCTTCGATGAACCCCTGTTCTGTGCATACCCTTATAGAATCTGGTAAAGCAATGTGCCTTCAACAAAGTGGCTTTTAAGTAAACTTCACAACTTCAAGTTTTCTCAGGTCCCCAAGGAATCCAGACACTTTGTCCTAAGCTATCTCTACCAACCATCTTAGCTTTTGGGTTTCCTTTTCAATGGACTGTACTCCTCTGCCACATTTCACATCTATCCACAACTACAGTGACATCCAGTCCCTCCTCCATTATACACACACGTCAGAAACACCTCAGAGGAAAGGCCGAGTTCTGAGCAATGAGAGCTTAGAGTCACGATCTCTTCCAACACTTTGATTTTCTCAAAAGCTACCTTTTGCCTCCTGCAAACACAAGAGTATTTGCTATCCTAAGGCTATTGTGCTTTCAGTGTTCACTAGCAGTATTGGATTTTTAAAAGAATTATCAGTAAAAGTTCCTCCTACCAGGAATCTATTTTTACCAGTGTTTGGGGACTGTTGTGTATTTGTCTATGGTTAAATAGCACTTGCAGGATTCCTTCTCTCCACTGGAGGTCACACCCTGGCTAGTAAAGCACAGCAGATGATTTCTCAGGTGTGGTCAGTGTCTAGTCCCATAGTCCAGTTGGCACAACTTTCGCATCCCTGCTGTAGAGTCCTTTTAAAGCCTCTAGGTGGCAGTTTAGTAAAGACGTATAGCAGCAGTGACAGCCTTTCTACACACTCAAAGGATCTCGTATGTCCAGCTGTGACCACCGAGTGAGTTTAAGAAACCTGAACTTGAGCAGTGTAAACCACACCTCCATCCCACATTACCATTGGCCTTGGCTTTACTGGCCCACTCGGAGACGTCATCCTGAGCCCGTCCATCTGTGAACACGATGGCCACTCGGGGCACCCGCATGGAGAGAGGCCTGGCCCCTTCTACTTGGGTGAAACTTCTCTCAAACATGTGCTTCAGGGCCAGCCCAGTCATAGAGCCTTTGCCCATGTATTTTATGTGGGCCACGGCTTTTTTCATGTCTTTGGCCGAGCTGAAGTTTCTCAAAGTAAACTCTGTGCGGACCTGCGTGGAATACTGGAGCAGCCCTACTCGAGCGGCTTTGGGGGAAATTGCCAAGGAATCTATAATTCTGGTGACGAACTGCTTCACAATCTCAAAATTCTCTTCTCCGAGGCTCTTGGATCCATCGATCACAAAGATCAGGTCGATTGGGCCTTCAGAGCATCCTACAAGAATGAAAGGAAAGTTGGGATAGGTAAATGATTAAAAAAAATCATTCATGCACAGAAGAAAATTATGCTTCAATTGAAGGCATGGCCTCTTTGGAGAATCACCTTTGTTCATTACAAAGGACAGACAGAAGGTGTTAGGAGACACACACAGCAGAGGTACACGTTTTAGGAAATCAGGTGCTATGTGTAAAGTACACTGAAGGGTCTGACAGCGCCCAAAAGATTCCTACAACTTTACTCCAGGAGAGTGACGTCACCCCAGTGCTGGCACTGCGACAGATGACAGAGAAGGAAATTCTTAAAAAATTCACCTCTTCCAGGGAGCTTTCCTAGTAACCCAGCTTGGATTAGTTACTCTTCGTGTACCCCTAATGTTATTAATTTATTCAATAAAAATTTGCACATTGAGCATGTTTCATGCAAGGCAGTAGGCACAGCAGGATTGAAATAGTGGCCAGGACAAAATCCCTGACACCAGGTTGCTTACAGTGCAGTGTAGATGCACTGTGCAACAGCTGGTTATGTGTGGGCCTCCTCCGCCTCCGGTCTGCCAGCTCCTCATCAGGGGCCATGTGTCATTCATTCCTGTATCCCCAATGCCTGGCACACAATAGGTGTTCAACAAATATTGTTGACAATAAATAAAAAAGGTGGTATCCATGAGGTAGCATACCTGTAAGTATCCTATTAAAAATGAATTATCACTGAATTCTTTATCTACACGGAAGCTTTTCAGGCAACTCAGATGGTTGACAGTAAAAGTTTTATGTAAATACTTAAGCAATCTGGGTGTAGAGAGACATTTTTGTTACTTAGGGCTGCATAAGAAAAATTTATAGATCCCAAATGGATGATCTCATTTTAAACAGTCTTCATTATGTGATATAACTTCTCTTTTATATATCAAGCAGCTGTTTAATCTTTGAATGTGAAGCACAACATTTTAAGCAAGTAAAGACACATGCAAAGTAAAGACACACATGCAAAAATATTTCTATGCTTGGCCTGAATAACAGGCCAACGTGTGTATGTGTGTGTGTGGGGGGGTGGGTTCCTCTCTCTCTGTTAAGCGCTTGTCCTCCATACTCAATCTACTGATTACTAGTGAAAGAGGAAAAGGTCAATTCAGAGCTTCATTTACTTTCACAACCTGTTTCTGAATCAACCAAAAACAACTCCCAGGTGGAGCGCCTGTGGACCTCCTGAGGGTCTCAGAAATGCCGGAATAATTTTTTGGCAGCGAGTCTGTTTTCTCCTCTTCCCCATATACTCTTTTCTTACAGAATAAAACCAGCACTTGCAAGCTCTTCGTACTGAGGGGCACAGAAGGCTCCTCCAGCAAACAAGACTGCTTGGTGGAGTGGAGGGGCGTCAGGGTGAAAGATGCCAGACTTGCTTTCAGCCCCAGAAAGAATGACAGCCCCACTTGCTGGCTACCTCTTTGCGGGAGAGTCACTCTAATTTTCTTTGGGCATTTTCTTTTTGATACTTAAGGCAATTGATTTGCTTCTCAACTTAATTTTCACAGAATTCCAGAATTTCAGGGTTGAATAAGACCTTAATGGTGATCAAGTGTTGCCCTCTGTTGCTTGCATCGTGACAACGTTCCCACCCGGTAACCATTCGGCCTGGGCATGAACCTCACTCCTGATGAGGAATGGCCCACTCACTGAAGCCTGTCTTTGGACAGCTCTGCTGCTGATGATGACAATAGCTATCGTTTGTTGAGCACTTACAGTGTGCCAGCACTGGGCTAAACACCTTTAAATACACTCTCTTATTTATTCCTCATGACGATTCTGTGCGGTACTATCCTGATATTATAGATGAAGAATCTGAGACTTAGAGAAGATAATTTGTCAAAGTCACACAAGTGTATGAATGGGGGTTCAAATCCAGACCTGTCCAACACATCTCAAGATCTTAATTAATCACACAGCTTTCCTGAGAGAAAATTTCTTTGTCCTCCTGCTGAGCTGCAGCCCCTCCCTAGGGTCTGTTCTTTCCCAGGGGAAGGGTCACAGAAATCATTAATGAGGTGACAGTCACTTTCATATTTGAATGATGCCTCAAGTCTTTTTTTCTAAAAAGACTTCCAGTTGCTTCCTTTATTTTTCACTTGACATTGTACTGAACTTCCTCACCATGATGCTTTCTAACTCTCGTTTCTCTATCCTTTTTCTTAAATTATTTTCTATAAAATAATATGTGCACATGGAAAAAAATTCAAACATTACAAAAGTGTGTGTGCATCTTGATCTCTCTATATCTATATCTATGATCGATCGATCGATCGATCTATCTATCTATCTATCGAATGGATGTTAGGAGAAGCCTCTTACAAAATACATCAATGGTAATACACTATAAAAACATTCAGTGCCATGCTTTTTTCACTTAAAATATCCTGAGGGTCTATCTAGAGTTACTTCATTCTTTTTAATAGCTGTATAGTATTCCACCATGGAGCTCCACTGTAATTTATCTAAGTCTCTTATGGATGGACATTTATTTACCTTGTTCCCATTTTTTTGCTGATACAAATGATGCTGCACTAAATATCCTTGTATACATGGCTTTGTGAACACATGTACATATTGGTAGGATAAACTCCTACAAATTTTTAATTGCCTTCAAAATATTGCCAAATTGACCTCCTAGTAGTTATACCAGTTCAGACACTGAGAGATAAATTTGTAATTACCTTCTAAAATATATCTTTGCCAACATAAGGAATCATTACACCTTTTGATCTCTAATAACTAATAGGTAAAAGAAGGTATCATAGCTTTAATCTCTTACTATACATTTTCCTTCTTTTCGTCTACGGTTTTTATGTTTCATGCGATGTTTAGGAAGGTCTCCTCTACTCTGAGATTGTAAAATAATTCTCTCAAGATTTTTTCTGCTACTTTAGTGTTTTTATGTTTGAACCTTTGAGCCATCTCTCTTTTCCTAATGTGCAATGTTCAGGACTTAATGTATTCTCCAGCCCAGAGCACAACACAAATCTTGTAAGTTTTTTCACACATGCTGCAGTCAAGCTCTCTCTCCCATTCTGGATTTATGCATGCATATTTATTCTTATGGGAGAAGCAGAGGTGAGGGATTTGTTTCCTGAAAATACTCCAAAAATCAGTTACTCCCAAACCAAATTAAAGCAGAAAGCCAAATTCGGATCACTTACTCTTGCACTGCCTTCCATCCTCAGCTAGAATGAATCCCTCTGAGCATTTGCAGATGTAGGAATTGCCACGATTAACACAGATGTGCTCACAGCCATGATGGGTCGATTTGCAGACATCCTTTCCTGAGGAAAACATAGAGTGAGCAACCCGTCAGTGTAGAAACGAGCTGGACCAAACAGTCGTGTCAGGAGAGATCACGGAGGTGATCCGTTTTGTAAAAAGCCATCTCTTTTCAGACCTCTTTTAAAACGTCCCCTCTCAGTCTAACACTCAAGAGAGGGACACAGTCTTCTCAGAAAGCTCTATTCCCACAATCCTGAATGGTAAGGTGGGTGCTTGGTGCCGCGAATTTGTTATTAATTCTTAGAACTGTGCATTGGGTTTTGGATTTTGATTCTCCCAAGCTAGTGATTTTTTTCCCATAGACATCCCAAACACTCCAGTTTTAACAGTCTAATGAACACGTGTGGAGTACTTTAAACTCTTCAAAGTAGTTATAGCCCTTTAATCTTCACCATATACTGTGAAAAGAGGAAGGCACGAATAATTATATCCAACTTATAAATGAAAAAGCTCAAAAAGTTTTAGAGTTGCCCAAGGTCATGTAGCAAGTTGATGACACAGCTGACGCATGATGTCCCTTACATACTCCTCCTCCATGGTGTGAAAACCTACAGTTCTTTTCTGTCATTAGCTCCTTGAAAGAAGCTTCCTACAAAACCGTCATCGGTGTCCTACGAATCCCTCTAGGAAGTGGGAATGGAGGGATCTGATTTAGCAATCAAATTCCAGAGGTAAAAGTTGTACCTACTGAGCAACAAATGTGTTGCTTGAATAAATGCTGCATGTGTGTACGCTTGCATTTATAGAAATAAAAGCGTGAACAAACAGCTCAGGCAGATATAATGGGCAGAACTACAGACATGGTCTCCACAGAAGGGATACTGCAGTGTGAAGGCAAAATAGGATTGTGCAGGAAGCCCCGCAGGGTTAGGCCAGGGTCCCACGGGCATCAGGAGTCAGCTGTTCCAACAGAGCTTCTTGTTAAAGGAAGGAGCCCTTCTTCCTGGTGGTGAAATGAGAACAGTGAGTTCCATCCACCCAGCTTTGCTGGTATGCAGAGTGATCCCAGTAATCTCAAAGGAGCCTATGAGGAAACTCCCAAAACGTTCAAATGAATTTATTTTGCCTTGACTGAAAATGGGCCATTTTGCTCACTGGAACAGGGTGTCACAAAAATCAAGTAGACAGTGTGGAACTCCTAAAAGTAAGGTTTAAGAGATCAGAATCTCACAATGGAGAAAAATCTCTGCCCTCTGCTATTCTAATGCCCACACCCACCTCGCTGAGCTAGTATGTCCCCATCTTTCTCTTCCTTTGGGTGTTGTGATGGCTAATTTTATGTGGTAAGGTGCCCAGTTGTTAGGTCAAACAGCAGTCTCAATATTGCAATGAAAGTTTTTTTTTTTTAAGTGAGATTAACATTTAAATCAGTGGAGTTTGAGTAAAGCAGATGATCTTCCATAAAGTGGGTGGGCCTCATCCAATCAGAAGAAGGCCTTAATGAAAAAAAAAAAAGACTGAATTCTCCCAAGGAAGAATTCTTCCAGCAGACTGCCTTTAGATTAGAGCAACATCGGCTCTTCCCTAGGTCTCCAGCCTGCCGGCCTATCCTGCAGATACAGACTTGACAACCCCCCATAATCATCCTCTCTCCTCTCTCTCTCATATATATATATGTGTATGTGTATATGTATGTATATGTACACATACATACATATACATACACATATACACACATACATTCATCCACACATACACTCTATATATGTACATGTACATATATACATGTAAACATAAATACACACACATATACACCTTAGTGGTCTGTTTCTCTGGAGAACCCTAATACTCATTCTAAGTAAACTCTCAGAGTCTGTTCTGGATGATGGTGATATAGAAGCAAATGATGGAATGGATAAATAAAATCCACAGAAGACCCCTTCAGCCCCTCTACCCTCACTTATGAGGTCTTCCAAGAAGAAATAGCACTGTAACTATCCTTTGGTCCTCATAGTGATTGCAGCAGAAATTCTAATTTGGTCCCATGACTAGCCAGGCACTGTGCTAGGTCTGGGCACCACACGAGTCTTGTGGAGAGGGCCAACAGCTGGGAGAAAACGAAAAGAAGCCAAGAGCCTGACACCTCAGGACGTTGACTGAGAAATTCCTGAGAACTAAGGGTCCACCGTATTGATCACTAGCAAAACACGTCAGAGCACCCAAGTCAGGGACTTTTAATTATGACACTGATTGTAAAGGAAGATTTTAAAGATTAAATGAAGTTATGTAACCGCCTAAGTTCCACAGATGGACCAATTCATCTCTACCTAGAGGCCACTTACTTCTGCAGTGTTTCCCATCCTGGGCAAGCCAGAACCCCTCCAAGCACTTGCAGATGTACGACTCGCCACTGTTCACACAGATGTGTTCACAGCCATGGTCTACTGCTTGGCAGACATCTTTCCCTGAAGACAGCAGAAAAAGTTAAAACAATTTCACCAACACAAAATTTCCCTGGGCTTCACTTTGGAGGATCCATCCAGCTCAGCCCCTGGATTCCCAGAGCCTCTTGAGCTCAGTGATCCATATGGAAGAAGGTGGCCCTGAGGGTGAAGTTCACAGCTCTAGTTCGGGCTAACTCTTCAAACTTCCCCGCTATCATCACCATCCTCATTCACCAGTACCTACTTCATAAAAATGCAATCCATTACCAGCTTTCTGCAGACGTAGTTTCTGTCTTCAGAAAGGAAACACTTTTGGTATGACTACTTAGGAGATTAATCCTCGATTTAGAGCAGCGGCACTGGAATCTAATTTTGGCTTAGTCCCTGATATAACATGTGACTTGGGAGAATCACTTAGTCCCTTGGAGCCTTAACGTCTTGTGTGAAAAACAAGAGTAATAATTCCAGTTACCCCTTTTTTTTCTTTGAATATGTCAAATAAATTTCCCTTTGTAAAGTACTTTGAGAGGCTTGAGGAAAAGATGACTGACAGGGATGGAAATCATTTATTCAGGGTTACACACTCCCCTTTGATTACACAGAGATGTGTCTTGACCCCGTCTAAGAGGCTTCGTTTTCTGAGATGTAAGAATGGCCTCATCATAAGGTGGTCTCTATAAGGGATTTGTGCTACCAGAAACAACAATAACATTGGAAGCAAAGAAACAGAGGCTCCGAGAAGTTAAGCAACTTGCCCAGCTAATAAATGGCAAAGACAGAAGTTGACAGAATCTTGGGTTTCACATAGCACGTGTCCCGCAGAGCACACTGCTAAACCACTGCTGCTCACCACAGGGCAGAAATGAGCAACTTCAGCTGTCGCTCTAGCAGTGATTTTTTTCATTCGCGCATTTGTTGGTTTTATTTTTAATGGACTTTATTGTTTAGGGCAGTTTTAAATTTACAGAAAAATTGAAAAGATAGTACATTGAAAAGAGAGTTAGTTCCCATAAACACCCATACCCAGTTTCCCCTATAATACTTCCCGTTAGTGTAATACATGATTTAATTAATGGACCAATATTAATGCATTGACTAATATCAACCAAAGTCCACAGTTTATTTACATTCCCTTAGTTTTTAACCTAATGTCATTTTTCTGATCCAAGATCCCACATTACATTTGGTGGTCATATGGCATTGGCTCTTGAGAGTAACTGACTTACACAAGGACCGCGATGGTGGATTTCATGCAGAGGTCAGATAACAGGGATGTGGGCCAACTCCAGTAAATACTCACTTCTGCAGGTTTTCCCATCTTCTCGGAGTATATACCCTTCAAAGCATCGGCACACAAAAGAGTCTTCACTGCTTACACATGAATGTTCACAACCATGGTCACCCAAAGCACAAGAGTCCAATTCTGAGAATCCGAGTAGAATCAGAGAAACAGAAGAAGGAAATGATTCAGACATTAGTGACTTATTCAATCTTAAAAGACATTTCAGACACCTTAAATTAAAACGGTATCTAATTCCATAGTGTACGTTTCAAAATAGAAAGCATGTCTATGAGCAAAAATTCTTACCATGCAAAGAGCACATAAATACATCATCATCTCCATAGGAAAAATGAACAACAACATGAAAAGACAATTTACAAAAAAAGACAGCTACAAATAGCCTATAAATATTAGAAAATAAGTCCAACTTCATTGGTTATCATAATGTAATAACTCATCTACATATCTATTTCAGTATGCATGCATGTGTCACTCTTTAGGTAATCCACTCGTTCATCTATTCATTCAATCTACAATACTTCATGAGTCCCTACTCTATGAATCAGGCACTCTTCTAGGATCTGGGGATACAACAATGAATAAAACAAAGTTTCTGCTTTTGTGAAGCTTAACATCTGGATGCAGCAGTGGGAGGGGAGGAGGGGGAAGACAATCAATAGACCAACAAATATATGTGTCAGATGGTGAAAACTGCTTCGGAGAAAAAGCAGGCTAAGGGAGGATAGAGCATGCCTGCGGGGTTGGGGTGCAGGGAATGCTTGTCATTTTACATGCTGCAGTTAGATAAGGTGACACTGAGCAAAGCCCTGGGAAAAAAAAGAGTGAGTGTGTCATATTTGAGAAAGAATAGCACCAAGAAAGGATTTACAAACTGCAGAGGTAGAAGCATGTTTGGCATATTTCAGGAAAGGCAAGGGAACGGGGGTGGCCCAAGCAGCCAGGGACTATCAGGGGATGATCAGGGACAGACCACACGGGATTCACAGGCAGTGGTTGGATCTGAGTGAGAAAGGGTCACTGGGGGACTTTGAGCAGTGGAGTGACATGATCCGATCTGACCTCATTTAAAAGGCCTGCTGTGCACAGAATGGGGCATGAGTAAGGATGTAGCATGGAGAGCTAGGAAAAACCTATTGCAATAATCCTGGTGGCCCCGACCAGGCTGGGGAGAAGTGGTCAGATTGTGGCCATATTTTGAAGGTAGAGCCTACAAGTTTGCTGACGGGTTGATATGAAGAATCCATCTTCATACAGATATGACATTTTTGAGTCAACCCAATCATTTCAGACAGAGTAAGTTCTATAATGGGTATGCATTGAAGTTATTAAGTAAAGGCTCCAAAATGCATAACCACCTTTATAATCAGGCGGAGACCATATACTTTTTTCTAAGGCACCTTTGCAGTATTTTGTTTGGGAGGGGAGCCCCGAGAACCAGTTATATTATTCTCATTTACCAGCCAGGGAAATGAAGGTTTGGGAAGGTTAATGGCTTGGCAAGACCAATTGCTAATAAGTGATAACATGAGACTAAAAATCTAATCTTCTGACAATGAATCCCATGTCTTCCCCAACTGCACTGCATCGCTATACTCTAAGGTGAGCTCTCAAACACGAAGGGAATTTTGCCTGTCTTCTTTGAGAAGAAGCACTGACAAAATTCTTAAGCAATGGGTAGGTGTTAATTGAAATTATAACTGCAAAATAGAGTCTAACGGAGTTGGACCCTCCTGTTTGCGCTGAATAGGAACTGTCTCTTGGGGCACAGGCCAAAGCCACTGCTCACGCAGAGCGTCCTTCCCGTGGTGCTGCGGGGAACAACTGCGGGATCCACAGAACAGTCGCCTGCTTGGCTGTGGAGGTGAGCATTTTTTCCCCACCATGAATTTATACGAGAAATACTCTGTTTTCCACGGTAATAAAATAGCTATAACTCTTTCAGGCCAGTCTTGTCATGCCATAATCCAGAAAGAACCACGAACACACCCCTTCTTTCCAGAGCTTCCCCCATGCCCGGTCCTGTCCTCTTAGCTCCAGCTTAGGCTTTCATCTTAAAGGGTGGGTGAGTCTTCCCACACAGACCCTGAAGGGCTGCGGACGTCCAGGCTTTCCTGAGCCGTGGTGGTCTCAGCCTGGCTTGGCTAAAGGGTGCTGCTCTCCCCTAGCAGGAGCCTGCTGAGCCCAAAGCCACTGTCCACAGGGGTACGTCTTCACCCTTGGCTGCAGATCATCCCAGGCTCCCAGCTCACTTTCTGAGTTCTCCTGGGTTTTTATATTAGTAGCTGTTTGGAAATTTTGTCGTGTGTGTGCTTTAAAAGCATGTGCAGAGTTTGGGTTTTTATTTTTTTCCTTCCTCATACCCTTAGAGCAGTGGTCCCCAACTTTTTGGCACCAGGGACCGGTGCTCCTATGAGAATCTAATGCCTGATGATCTGAGGTGGAGCTGAGGCGGTGATGCTAGCGCTGGGGAGCGGCAGCAAATGCAGATGAAGCTTTGCTTGCTCTCCTGCCGTACACCGCCTGCTGTGCTTCCCGTTCCTAAGAGGCCATAGACTGATACTGGCCCACAGCCCAGTGGTTGGGGTCCCCTGCCTTAGAGAGCATCTGATCAAGAGAGAGTAGAGCAGTGATGAGTTCTTGACCTCAGATCAGCATTGGAATCACCTGCAGAGACTTTTTTAAAAAGGCAAAACAGGCACCTGATTCAAAATTCATACACATTAAAAGGCATACTTTCCCTGTGGAGGGGTATCTGGCAAGATCTACCAAAGTTACAAGATGTCCCTTTGACCCAGCAACTTCACTTCTGGAATTCTCTCCTACAGATACCCTTGTACCATATGAAGGGATATGCTTTCAAATTATTCATTCACTGCAGATCGTTCATAATAATGAAAAGTGGGAAACAACTCAAATGTCCAGTAACAGGGGACTAGCCACATAAATGTCCCACACAAGGAGATATCAGGCCTCTGTAAAAAGAACGAGGAAGTGCTCTCTGTGAGGACAGGAAGAAATCTCCAGTAAATGTCACTGAGTCAAATAAAAAAAAGGCATAGAATGGAGTATATGACACACCATGTTTTGTGTATATAAGGGAGGAAATAAAAATATATATTGGTATTTGCTTTTATTCACATAAAGAAACATGAAGAATAAACGATAGACTAATAAAAATGGTATGTTAGCTAGCTGTTACTATATAATATTACCCCCAAATTTAGCAGCTTAAAACAACAGACATTATCTCCACGGTTTCTGAGGGTCTGGAATTCAGCAGTGGCGTAGCTGGGGGGTTGTGGCTCAGAGGCCCTCATGAGGCTGCAGTCAAGCTGTCACCTGGGGCTACAGCGATCTCAAGGCTCAGCCGCCTCTGAGCTCGCTCACATATTTACTGGCAGGATTCTTGGCTCCTTACCAGTTTTCTGCCAGAGGCTGTGGTTCCTCACCATGCTGGTCTCTCCAACATGGCTTCCCCCAGAGCGAGTGCTCCAAGAAGTGAGACAGCACCCAAGACAGCAATCACAGTGTCTTTTATAACTTAATTTGAGAAGTGGAATGCCACTGTTGTCTCCATATGCTGGCCAACAGTGAGGACAGGGACGACACAAGTATGTGGATGCCAGGAGATGGGGATCACCAGGCGCCATCTTGGGGGCAGCCACCACCAGTTATTGATAGGCGGTGAAGTTAGGGAGCAGAATGGCAGGATGAGAGTGGGAGCAAAACTTAATGTATTTTTTTTGTATTGTTTTTTGATTTTTGAACCAAAGGTAAACCTCTTACCTATTCTAAAAATAAATGCAATTTAAACAAAAATTCTTCATGGGAAACAAAAATTCATAGTTAAAACTACACCTGTCTCTCACCTTTGACAGCCTACATTGTTATTTTTAAAGGCTGCACCATCATTCATTTAACCAGTTTCTTACTGGATGGGCATTTAGGTGGTTCCTAGTCTTTTGCTATTACAAGCATCATTTTAATATTCTTGTGCACATAGTTTTGCATACAATGTGAGAGCATATTTGAAAGATAAACATCTGAAGTGGAAATGACTAGTTAAAGGGCGTGAACATTTAAAAGCTGATAAATATGCTCAAATCGCCCTCCAAAGACCTTACATTAATAATGTAAGATAGTCTCTATTTCAGGGGATCTCAGGTGCTGCCTGGGCTTTTGGATGTTTTAAAAGCCCCAGCGATGATTCCAATAAACCACCAGGGTGAGATGCTGGTGGTGGACACAGACCTTATGTTCAGAGACCTTCTCAAGTGTTCAGATTATTCCGTGCTTCCACCACCATGAACCAAATGCCATCGTCTTTCTCTGCGGCTGCTGCGTCACCTACTAACTGATTTCCACCCACCCACTTCCACTCCCTCCAGTTCGTCCCCCAGGCCTCCCGAGTCCTCTTTTCCAAATATGAATCTGCTCTCATCACTCGTTCCCTCTGCCTGAGATCTTTTAATGCTTCCTGAGAATCTTGGGATGAGAGAATCTTTGGCAAGGTTCACGGGACCTGCCCTGCAGCCTCATCTGGCCTGCTGTACTCCAGCTCTGAGTACTTTTTTTTAGTACCTCAGTACTTGAGTACTGAGCCAGAAGCTCTCCCACCACAGGGCTCTCTGCACAGCCATTTCTCTGCCTGGAAGACTCTTTCCTCCTTTATGACCTCCAGATGTCTCCCCGACCTCCTGGCACAGGGCCTCAAAGAACTAGGCATCTGCCGCTTTGGTCGCATCACAGTGATCACCAAACAGTTACGTGGTTGGTTTAGGTCTGTGCCCACCTCCTCACCAGAGTATGCTTGCCCGGGCTCTGATCTCCAAGAGACAATGCACTATATCCGTTCTTCTCTCCTGCATGTCCCAGCACCTAACTTAATGCCTGAAATATCACTGAGTAAAAGGAAACATTTCCTCAGTTTTCTACTCTGATAATCAAGAGTATCTAGATCCACCTCGTAGGGTTTTTGTGCAGATGTTTTACATGGGAGCGAGTGGGGTGTGGATGCTGGCGGTCAGCTGGGCTTCTCACTCTCTCCCATGCACCCGCCTTGCAGACTGCACAATTCACATTTGTTCAGCAAAAATGTTCAGTTTCTGCCTGTCTGGGTGACTCGTGGTAAATTAGAGAATGCCAAAGCTGTACTGCAGTTAACTTCCTGACCATAGGCTCTCGTGGCTGTCTACTCATCGCGTCTGGAAACCAACTCGGAGTCAGCTGCTCCCTGGAGCCAAAGGTACTCCTATCTAGGAAAGTACGTCCCTTGGTCCCCGAGAGGGACTCAATGTCATGGGTACCCTGGCCAGGGGAGAATGGTGGCATACCAGCAGTCCATTCACTCATTCAGCAAGTGTTTATGGAGCACATACTCTGTGCCAGGTACTATCCTTACTTTCAGGCTGGAAGGGACCTTGGAGATGAACTGGTTCAACTTTTTCACTTTGGAGTTGAGGAAACTCATGGTCAGAGAGGGGAAGTGACTTGCCCGAGGCCCCTTAATCTGCAGAGGTGAAATATGTCAGCTGTGCTGGGACAGAGGTGGGATTAGATCACAAATTTATCACTTCTGAGTTATCTGGTCCAGTTGCACATCCAGTGTTCATTCAGCCTAGCTCAGTAGAGTCTGCTCAGACAGACCGGTAGGTTCTGAGAAGACAAATTAAGTTTCTCAAGGGAGGCAAGGCCTCCAAATAGTTTTATGTAACTCTAAAATCTGTAAGTGATCTGTCCCGCCTGTGTCTCCAGGCTCATCTCTCCCTGGTCTCCCTCTCGCACTCAAAACTCAATACTCAGCACACGCTCAGGACCCTGGGCTTCCACGTGCTGTTTTCTGTGCCCAAGAAGAGCTCCTCCTCCAGTCTGAGTCCACCAGGTGCTGCAACAAAGAACCACACACTGGGTGGCTTATACCAGCAGAAACGTTCCTGTGTGTTTGGGTGAGAGCCCTCCTCCAGGTCACAGACTTCTTGTTGTATCCTCACATGGTGGAAAAGACCAGGGAGCTCTGTGGGGTCTCTTCTATAAAGGCACAAATCCCATTCATAAGGGCTCCACGCTCATGACCTAATTACCTCCCAAAGGCTCCACCTCCAAACACCATCAATCACCTTGAGGGGAGGTTAGGATTTCAATACATTAATTTTGGGAGGACACAAACATTCATTTCATAACACCTTCCATCTTCCATCTCTAGCTAGCTCATCAATCTCTAGGTTTCAGATCAAATATCTCTTTCTCAGGAGACTTTCTCTGGACTAGGTGACAGCCTCCTTGTCACATGCTCCTGTGGCACCTCCTCTCCCCACATGGCAACTCTCATCACATGGAATGGATGATATGTCTAATATTTTTCTTCCCTGAGAAACTTTAAACTCTGTCAGGGCAGAAACTGAACTGCATCAATCCCAGGGATGCCCATGTACAGGGATACACACTGCAGGTACAGGATAAATGTTAGTGGAGGATGAGAATGAATGGACCAAGAGCTTGAGGAGGTACCTAGACTCAAATCCAGAGACAAGAACAAGGACAGCTCAGCTGTGAACCATCACTGCAAGGAAATAGATGGCAGGACTTATGAGAAATCTCAGGATGTGGGAAGAAAACGTGTTGCCTCTAAGAGAAGTGTCTTCTTCCTTTCACAGTGAGGAGGCAGGTCCACACATTCTGATCACAATTTGTGATCAGGATGATAGGAGTTTCAGGACACAGTGAAGGTTTTTAGGGCCCCTTCTGGCAGCCTTGCACGCTGATATAGACTGTGCTCCCCGTATCTGGATCCCACATCTGGTGAGTCATGTACGTCTGTGGTGTAGTAATCACGGGGTAATGAGTTCTGTGGACTTGTACCTCTGTGGCAATGACAGAGAACAATCCTGTGTCAGGCTCCATGTAGGATATTATTAAAACCAAACTCAGGAAGAAGAAACCACATGGCTGTCTGCCTAGAGGGTAACCAAGGCCGAGAGATAAAATGACACTGTTTTCTGGCTTTTTTTAAATAATAAAACTCAGAGCAGCCACTCTTTTGTTAGCTCTGTAGAGGCTTTCACTCAGACAAACCAAGAAGCAGCTAAAATGAGGCATTCTTTTAGAGGGCATCTCATTCACTCTGGGTGAGAGATCCTGAATCAGGAGACCTGGGTTCTAGACTCAACTCTGCCACTGACTGCTAGAGCCAGCTTGGGGACACCAGTTTCCTCCATGTACCTGTTTCCCACAAAAGAAAGGGAAGATCTTTAAGCGTCCTTCTGTTCCATCAAACCTATAATGTAAATGCAAAAGGGGGAAGGTGACCTTCTTCCCTGCTATAGACTGAATTGTGTCCCCCCCGCCAAATCCATATGTCAAAGCCCTACTCCTCAATGTGATGGTATTTGTAGGTGGAGCCTTGGGGAGGTAATGAGGCTTTGATGGGGTCATGAGGGTGGGGGTCCTATGAAGGGATTAGTGCCCGTATAAGAAGAGACATCGGAGGGCTTGCTCTCTCTCTCTGCTATGTGAGGACACAGTGAGAAGGCAACTATGCGCAAGCCAAGAAGGTTCTCACTGAACCTGACTCTGCTAGTACGCTGATCTTAGACTTGCAGGCTCCAGAACTGTGAGAAAATAAACTTCTGTTGTTTAAGCCATCCAGTCCATGGTATTTTGTTACAGCAGCCTGAGCAGACTATAATACTCCTCAGTCTGTGCGTCAATACCCCCTCCCCGAGACAAGGATGGCTCCTAGAGAAAATCTGAGCAATCAAAGTTGGGAGCCCGGGCAGGAAGAAGGGAGGATGGGCTTCACTCCAGAGGCTAGGGAGTCCAAGGTGCCTGCAGGAGTCTGACAGTAACAGTGCCCACTTAGTTCCAGGGCCCGGAAACCTGGGCCTGCTCTTTATGCTTCAGAGAAATCTTATGGAAGGTTCGTGAAGGATACTTCAGGCCATCTGCTATCAAGGCTCTAAGTGGAGGCTCTTTATAAAGAGCCGAGGACACTACTACCTGCTAAGCCAGGCCTGCCTGACCCCTGGGGGCTCCCCCGTCCATAGCAGGGCTTTTCAGAAAGGTTCAGTCACGTCATCAGGCTCTGCATCATCTGGAATAGAGCTGGGAAACCTACATCCCAACCTAGTTAACTACGGCCACACTGAAAATATAGCTCATTATTACAGGACGGGCAGCCAGACTGAATCATCCTGGGGCAGACAGAAAGTCTTCAATTAGGGGAATAGCTCAACGCATAGTTATCAGCTGGTGGGGAAAATGCGTCTCTTAGGTACCACCTCCCTGAGGATAATTCTAACCCATCTGATCATCTCACAAAATTTCATATAGTCACAACCATATATAAACACACACATGAAAATTCACTTCTAATTGCATTGTTGAATATTTACTCATATGGATGATGTCACTGTACCATTAGTTACAGACTTACTTTAAATGAAAAAAGGGGCAACTTTTACAAGTGTTGGTGGTATAACCCAGATGTGGACCTGGGCAGGGAGGGAGAGGGGGCAAGTGACCATAAGGACAAGGAGCAGCATTGGTTTAGAAGGGCCGTGAGGGTTTCTCAGAAGGCCTGCAGCCATCTTATAGTCAGCTCTTGGTGATCACAGTGAGGGGGAGGACAAATGAAGGGCATGAATAACCTACGATGATCGAGAATTAAAACAAACCAATAAAAAACCGTGCATGTGGCTTTGGCGTGCTGTCACATGTCGATACAATTTGACACACCCATCCTCTTTGGGCACCCCTGATGCCCACACCCTCCAGTGCTGGCTGGAGCAGCAGTCCAGGAGGCAGCTGGGCAGGCAGCCACAAGCCAGCTAGAAAACAGATAACCTATTTGTCAGGACTCAAGAATCTGTCTCAAATGAAGGAAACATTTCTCACAGGCTGCACAGTTAGAGAGGCACACCCAGCTGTGCAGGCACTCACCTGCCTGTGTGAATGGACCACATAAAAAGGTGGATAAATTAGGTTGTGGCCACAATCATATCAGTGGTCAGGGAATTTGACCCTATAATCAGAAAGATGAGCAGGATGGAGAAGGTAAAGTATAGTCCTTTTCCTCCATTTCTGATCCCTTCTCCCAAAATGACTATTATTTTAAGTCTTTATCTTGGTCCGTTTAAAAACACGATTGCAGGGCAGCAAACGCGACTCAAAAGAAGGTCTGGAAGCTTTTGTTTTTGTTTTTTAACTCAATGGAGACCGAAGTTGGGACCAGCTGCGAGGAAGAACATACCGGGGAAACATCACTGCCAACCTCGCCATCTGCTGCCACATTATCCGGATGGGAGAGGGAACTTCTCAGGAGCCTCCCCTTCTCCCAGAGCTGACTTTGGAGTCACCCGGACCAGAGTTTGAACTCGCTATCTAATAGCTGATGATCTGAGACTTTTAATTTGAGCTGCATTTTCTCGCTGCAGAATGGGGATTCAGCAGGGCTGCAGGAACGCGAGAATGCCTGTGCTTATTAGCACATGTCAGCAGTCAGCAATGCGCCCCCGGTATTATAATACTTGTGCGACCCCGGCTGACTGCCACTTTCAGACGGATTGCTGAGGTAGAGAAGTGAGAGCTAAGAAACAGGGCTCGGTCCGGCTTCAAAATTACCACGAGACAGACTAGAAATAGGAAAAAGCCATCTCGGGGAGCTGGACGAGGAAGGTGGGGGCAGGGAAGCAGCACCAGGGCTCAGGCCGCTGGCAGAGGCCTTTCTGCACGGTGACTCGGGCCAGCGAACGCCGCAGCTGACGCGCGGGCACTGCTCGTCTGGCAGCAAACCCCACCCGCGAGTCGCCCGCGCAAAGTCCAGCTTTGTGCTGGACCTCGGAACACTTACTGGCACAGGTCTTCCCATCACTGCGGAGCACATGTCCCTCGGGACACTGACAAGCGAAGGATCCGTCCGTGTTGACGCAGGAGTATTCGCAGCCATGGTCGCTCAGCAAGCAATAATCGGCCCCTGCAAGACCCAACGAGCAGCAGACGCCATCAGCGAGGCCTCTGGGCTACTGATGATAGGAATTAAGTGACCATCATGCTTTCCTACCCCACCTCATCTCCAGGCATGCGGTCCCCCTGGAGCAGAGAAAAGGACAGAGGAAAGAAAGGACCGCGCCATGCAGTCCTCTGCAGTCCTCCCCGTTTCCACTCCTGTTACAAACCTCTCCCTTATCAGGAAGCGTGGAGCGGGACTCACGGGAGCAGGTCTTGAGGTCCTCGTTGATGAGGAAGCCCTCCGAGCACTGGCAGACGAAGGACTCCTCGGTGTTCAGACACAGGTGCTCACAGCCATGGTCCTGCTGCGCGCAATGATCCACCCCTGCGGTCGTCACACACGGACACGAAGTAACGCGCGGGGACAGCGCCCACCGGGAACCGGGCGTTAAACCACAAAACCTCCTCAGAGGGAGCCCCTGGGGAGCCTTGCACTTTATTCTACCCTGTGCAACTGGCCTCTCTGGAAAATCAGCCTCTTATGTTTGGTTTTCTTCGCATTACTTTGCAGAGTAAAGTGCCTACAACTCTTGTGTTGGTGTTAATGACAGCGGCCCTCTGTGCCAGGCCTTGGCACCATAATCTGTAACCCTCGGGGCAAGGCTGAGAGCAGGTGCCAGCCCCAGCTCACAGGGAGGAAAGTGAGGCTCAGGAAGCTCAAGCTCCTCGTCCAAAGCCACACAGCTGACAGAGCAGGGCTTAAGAACGAGGGTTCCAGCATCAGACTACTGGGGCTCAAGTCCCACCTCCACCACTGCCTAGCCATGGGACGCTGTGCAGTCACTTGACCTCTCTACCATCATTTTCTGACTTGAGAAATGGAGATGATGACGCCGCTTTCTTAGAGGAATGGGTGAGGAGCAGAGGAGGTGATACATGTAAAGCCTTGGGAACAGTAGCTGGCAGTTACCATGTAATGTTTTTTATTATTAAGTAGTGCTGAGTAAGAATTAAATAGTTTTCTTTCTATTTGAAAATGAAAAAGTCCCCCACCCACCGCCATGATTAGGATATCCAGATTCAGAAAACAAACCAAAGCCTGCGCCTGCATGTGTGGCCGATCCTGGCACCCTAGTGCCGCACAGCTGGCCCCGTTGGGCAGAGAGCACTGCAGGACAGTGAACACACAGCTGTGGTGAACCACTCCCACCGACAGCCGGGCAGGCTGCTTCCCAGATTGCCTTGGTGGAGAAAATGCAACCCCAGAGACTGGAGACATGCAGGAGGCCTTGTGCAGGGCATTGAGTGGGCTTCTTTGACTCTCGCAGGGCCTAGGACTGATGCCTTCTGGAACATTCCTACTGCAAATACTTGCAGGATCCCAGGAGCCAGAGGCCTGTATTCACATCCTGGTTCCACCATTTACCAGTCATGTGATCCTGGGAAAGTTACTTAATCTTTTTGTGCCACTGTTTCCCCACTTTAAATAGGGATAAGAATGTAGATGCCTTACAAACCTGTTGTGAGTGTCTGGAAAATGCTCACACCAGTGCCTGCACAGAGCGTGCACCCCATAACGGCTTGCTGTCATTATGGCCTGGGGATCCCTGAGTCCTCAAGGGGGATAGGATACCATGACTTTCTCTGGGGCCTCCTGGGAAGAAATGGCTTGGTTTATACTTTCTTGAAGCTGACTAGGTGGTCCTTCTTATGAGATCCCAGAGAGAAAGAACGTCCCAAAGTCCTTTGGCCCCTCCTCTGAGCTCTTCTAGGTCCTCCACAGCATGCTGGGTGGGAGAGGCAGGCCATGGCCCCTGGGGCTCTAGGTGGGCTCAGCCAGGTCATGCCTAGCCTGCCCCAGGACACCTACCAGGACCGTCAGCCGGCAGACCCTACATTCCCCGAACAGAGTAGAATGTACACAGGTCCGTTACCACAGCGCATCTCCTTGTCGAGGGGAAGACCTCCTGCTCCTTACTCACTTCTCATAGGGACTCAGAGATATCCCAAGGCAAATGCACAGCAGCTCCAACTTTCTGGTTCAGAAAACTTTGACCTCTGAGATCAGTCCTTAGAAAGCCTACTTGAGGCACTTTGTTCTCTCTGAAGACTGAAGGGGCACAAGTTTTCCTAAGGACTGCTCTGTACCTAATACTTCATCTCTGAAACTTCCCCTCTTGGCAATTTAAGGTCCAAATGCTGAACAGCTGCACTGTCTTCATTCACAGTATAGTTCTGTCTCCAAAGCTGGAGCAGATGTGTGGCTTGCTGTGTGAAAAGCCACACAAAGGGCCCCTTCTATGCCGGCCATGTCACCAAGCTCCTCTCCCAGCATACCAGGGTCACAGGCATTCACCACAGCGCTCAGGTGCCCCCACCCCTACTGGCCTGGACCAGTGCAGACTGTGCCTCATAAAAAACAGTGGAACTGTCCAGCTGGCAAAGCCTGCAAGTTTCCATGCATTTACATCACCAAATGGAGCTTTGTTGTGTCTCTAACACAAGAAAACTAAGAAAAGACTTTCACAAAAGTCCCATGTTTCTCAGCTCTGCCCTTAGATCAGCTCTGTGGTAGCGCAACCGCTTTCTGAGCTCTGTCCCTTTCAACCTTTTGTTCCAATTTGGGGACAGCACTGGTCACTCTCCCAGGCTCTGTGATAATAATGAACTACTATCTGTAATTGTGTTTTCCCTGTGCCAGGCATAATGCTAAGAGATTAAAATGGTCCTGATTATTTTCCTCAACAACTCTAAAAGATCAGTCCCGTTAGTACCGTAGCTTTTTCAAACAGATGGGGAAGTCAAAGCCTGGCTAAGTCAAGGCACTGCCCTGGGTCACACGTGTAGTGTGCGGTAGAGCTTGGACTTGGACTCAGGCCAGTCTGACTGAATCGATGCTCTCAACAGCAAATAATAATATTAGCTAATATTTACTGAGTGCTTATTACATGTCTAGCAGCACTTTCCAACTGTTTGATATGTATTGATTCTTTTAATCCTCAAACCCAATCTATGAGGTGGGTAACACTAAGAGTCCCATTTTGTGGATCATGAAACTGAGGCAAGGAAGGTGAAGCCTGTCGGATCACCGGGCCCGCGGGAAGCTCAGGAGCTTCCGAAGTGGCTGGCTGCTAGTCAGTCTGGGGCCTGCTGCGGACCTTCCCTCCGGCCAGCATCCCCAGCCCGGGGCACACTCACGGCTGCAGGTCTTGCCGTTGGGGTCCAGGGTGTAGCCCCGGCGGCAGCGGCAGTAGTACCCCTCCGCCGTGTTGGCGCATTCGTGCTCGCAGCCCGGCTTGCTCAGCGCGCAGTAGTTGATTCCTGAGGGGAGAAAGGGCACTTCAGGCTCTGCGCTTCTCCCAGGGCTGTGAGGTCAGCCCCTTGCAGTAAATATTTAGTAAATGAGGTGATCTGTAGGACACAGGAAAAAATAGCTCCTTTTCTCCGGGAGCCGACTTGAAACAGACCCTGGTACCTGACATGTATTCCCAGAATAGGTCTTTTTCCCCTTTGATGGCCAAAGAGCTGAGAAATGAGTTGAGTGCTACAGTCCCCAACCTAGCCCCTTAAATGAAAGATGGAAAAGCTGAGAAAAACCTGATCTTCTCGTCTTCCAGTTAACCTGATCACTAGAGCTCAAAGCATGTAGGGAGCTGCCATCTGCAGTGGCATCTGACAGTGGCATTGGACAGCACAAAGTAGAATAAACAAAAGCTGATCTTGAAAGTTATCCAGCTACTTAGGAGAGGCAGAAAATGGCAGTTACATTAAAGAAGAGTCCAAGTGCTTAATGTCACTCAGGCCATGACAGCATCCACGCCAAAAACCTGGAGAAGATACATGTGTCTCTGATGCTGCTCCAGGGGTTCAGTTTTGTCCCACAGTAATATTCGCGCCCCCATCCAGGCTGTTGAGCAGTTTTGCTGTTCAGCAGCCAATTAGCAGTTTCATTTCCTGGTAGAATATGCTAAAACCACAAGACCTCACACGGAACAGGCGATGGGAGAGATGGAGATCTGTAAGCTTGTGGAGGGCCTTTAAGAGTCTGGTATAGGGGAGAAAGGTCACCACCAATGTCAGTGGCCAGGCTGGATTGGTTTAACTGCATTGTTCTTTTTTCTGGGAATGTGGCAGACACTGCTGGTTGCCTTGCCAACAACCATTACCCTGTCTTCTTGGGGCTAGAACCCTGACCCTCAAGATATGAAGCACAGCTGACCTAAGCCAGCATGGCAACCATGTTCTCCTTTGCCAGTGATTGGTCAAGGGTGGGGCTATGCCCTAGTTCTGAGACATAAGGAGAAATTTATTGGGGCCCCTAAGGAAAGATTTTCCTTCCCGAAACAACAAAGATGTATGAAGAGAAATGCCTTTTTCTATCCTCTTTCATTTCTGTCTTTGGATCTAGTTATGATTCCTGGAGCTGCAGCAGCTGTCTTACAGCAATGAGGTGACAGATGTGAGGGTGAAAAGTCAACATGCTATAGCAGAGTAAAGGGACAGAAAGAGTCTGGGTTCCTGATAGCATCACTGAGTCACTGAGCCGACCCTGGGATCAACCATCTCTGGGTCTGTTAGGTAAAAGCAAATGTCCTTAAATTGCTTAAGGTACCATGAGTTGGATTTTCTGTTTTGCATGACTAAAAAGCACCATAACTGATACAAGGGAAATGATCTGAAGCCAGGAAGTAATGAACTGAGAAAGAACACATTTTATTTTTATTATATCTCTGCCCCAAAAGCATTTGAGGAGATGTACATACACAAATAACCTGAAGACAGAACACACATCTGCCTCTTGCTTCAATGACTCTTCACTGCTGTCGTTAACCTCTATCTTCCTTCACAGTCAGCAAAACATCATTCCCTCCTTAACACCCTTGGTGAGACCGCTCCAGGAAGTCAGCTCTTTCTACAGGACCTCTCTCACAGCATTCATCAAAATGGTCATGTAGCTTGCACGCGTCTGCGTGTGTGTGTGTGTGAGATGCCTCAATACCCGCTTCACAGACTGAGTTCCACAAGCAGGGACTATATTATTTTTGTCTTTCTAATGACTGCATCATTAGAAGCAGTCCAATAATAAAGTTACCAATGACAATTACAGTTGCTATCATTTTGTAAGCACCTCTAAGTGCTTAAGAGTTTCACTTGACTCTAAAAGTATGTGCTATTATTTTCCGTATTTTAAAGATGAGGAAACAGGGGTTTTGAAGAGGTTAGTAACTTACTTAAGATCCCACGGCTAGTTAAAATGCAGCTGTGAAAAAGGAACCCACACCTGAGGGACCGCAGACCCATCCTTTAAAGGGTCTATGATCTGCCCTCTCGGGTAGCAGGTGAGGGACCTGTCCACATCACAGATTATGAGAAGTGGCCGCAGACTGAGCACACAGAAAGCACTCCCATGACATGCCTCAGAGAAGAGATGCCACTACGACTGTCACTGACCCCTTGATACTCTCTCCATAACCCATCCATCCTGCAGGAGGAAAGGCAGAATATGGTTAGCCGTGTGCAGTTTCATTTCATTAGCCTGGAACGAATCAACAGCCTTGTGTGGAACAGACTGAATGCCAGGAAATAAGCAAAGAGCCTCAATGAAGAAAAATAGGCCCGGCAAGAAAACATTGGCCACAAACAGATAACCAACCAACCAAGCAAACAGACACAGAACACAAAGTCTGAGGCCACAGTCTGGGGCCACATAGTGTACAGCCTGCAGGAAATCACCTCATTATACCATCAGAGAAAGGTGAAATTGTCTTCAGCAAATGCTGTTTCAAAAAGTCAGCATTCAGCTACTATTAAAGCAGTATGGAAGTTCCCTCCAAATTTAAACATAGAATTACCATTTGACCCACCAATTTTATTCCTAGATATACACCCAAAAGAACTGAATGCAGGGACTCAAACAGATATGTGTATACCCACATTCATAGCAGCATTATGCCCAACAGCCAAAAGGTGGAAGCAACCTAAGTGTCTATTGACAGATAAACAAGTAAACAATATGTGGTATAGACATACAATGGACTATTATTCAGCCTTAAAAAGGAAAAAAATTCTGACACATGTTACAACATAGGTGAACCTTGAAGACATTATGCTAAGTGAAATAAGCAAAAAGACAAATATTATATGATTTGGCTTATGAGGTACCCAGAGTAGTCAAATTCATAGAGATAGAAAATAGAAGGGTGGTTGCCAGGGCCCAGGGGAGAGAGGGTTGAGGTGCTATTGTTTAATGGGTACGGGATTTCAGTTCGGGGGGTAAAAAAGCTCTGCAACTGGGTGATGATGGTTGCACAATAATGTGAATATAAGTAATACCACTGAACTGAACACTTAAAAATGGTTACATGGGAAATTTTGTTATATATATTTTACCACAGTTTTTAAAAAGCCAGCATTGTCTTTAAGAAGGATACATACCAAATAATTAAACTGAAAAACATTTAGATTCTTGAAGAGGTTATTACTCAGCTATCTGGCAAACAGCAATTCAAAAACAACTCCTCTCCAAATGGTTCTTCATAGTGCAGGTTTAACTGTAGACCTTTGCTTTCTTTACATGCTTGAGTCATTTCTTCACATGTGTGTCACTTAGGTATGCATTCACTCACTCATTCATTCATTCATTCAGTATTTATTGAGTAGCCACTATGCACCCATATCTGGTTCAGCCTCCTCACTAACTGTGAAGTGCTACATATGGGCCAGGCCTGAGTGTAGCTTTATCTGGTAAATCTCAGAGTGTCCATAAACTCCTGTGAGGTCAGACGGCTGAACTGTCAGATAGCAAAATAAATAGTGCTTATAAGTTGGAGACCGCACTGAGAAGTAACACATAAAAACAGGAAGGATCAGTGACCCCAGCGAGTAAATCATAATGCCAACTGAGTAGCACAGATAGTTTCAGAAAAATCAGACTGATAGCAAATGCTCAAGCAGGAAGTCATGTTCCTTTGGTTTAGGAAATCCAGTGCTGAAAAGTAAAGCAGCCTGTCCAAGGTCGCACGGCCAGTATGAGTGATACTGCCAGGTCTCCCAGCTCAGTGCCACCTGTGGACACCATCCCAGGTCTTTAGGGTGTGATATCTTTGGCTACAGGGAGCACAGGCCATGGTGCCAGCACGAGCAGTCCTGGAGCCCAGCATGCAGGTCACACTGATAACTGAGTCCACCCCGGGGCCCCACCTAGACAGCCAGGCCGGTCGCGGCGCCTGCACGTTGCACCACCACCTTAATAATTTATGCTTTAAATCAATGACAGGACTTTTCAGAAAAAGAAACTGTGCCCAGATGAAGAGGAAGAACAAATCCTGGCACAGAATCTTTTCTTTAGTAGAACTGTTTGAACTTTTTCCCAGTTTAATTGGATGACATCAAATTCCTTTGAAAAATAGATTTCTTATTAGATTTGAAAATAGCTCACATCCATTAACTGACTCTTAAATGTAAATGGCTGTACCCTGAGCTCAAGATTCATAATACTTTTGAGATCTTCAGACTCCTAATAACAAACTCCAGATTTTAAACCCAATTTCTTTGCTTCCCTCTTCCATGTAATGCTCCAGAGAGACGGTGAGTGCTGTCTGCCATAAACAACCGAGTGCAAACATCGTCAGGGGCAGCTCTAAGAGGCTGACCTCAGGAGGAAGGTCAGGTCTGCAGCAAAGACAATGGAAAATGTAACTATGAGGCAGGATATTGGGAGAAGGACATTGGGTTTTAGGAACAAATTCCATTTTTTTTTGGATGAAAAAGTAGGGCACCTGGATAAAGAGGAAATGGAGCTATAATTGCTGAATATATACGTGAATGAGCATTAGGGACTTTGGACTGGGCCCGAATCTGCAAACCGGCCCATCTGTGGACCATTTTGTGGTGGTCAAACTACTTACTCCCAAATGGTCACTTCCTTTCCACTCGCCCTTCTGTACTTGGCCTCCTTCCTCCCTTGATAGTGATATGTGCACTGCCTTGGACCCTCCTCTTATTCCTAGTGCCTCGCCAGGCAAGATGTGGAGGGAGTGGCAGAGATGGAGGGAATCTTAGATAATTGGTACGAGATGTCGAGCTTCAAGCAGATTCCCTCTGCTGATGGCCACTTGTTTCCTCTTCCCTTCATTAGTAACGCACAATGAAGCTTGCAACCACAATGAGAGTCTGAGATGAACCAGATCTAATTATCTCCCACATATTTATGGAGTTTTGGTCCATAAATATGAATCCTGTGAGTGGGTGTAGTCAGTCACGGACACACTCAACCCTAGAAAAAGGTGTGAATAGCACAGAGAGGAGTGGCCAAGCCAGAA